ATCTTTATCAGAATGGGCAGCTTTGTACTTAAAACTTGCTTTGGTTTTTTGCTGCTTTGTGTTCGTGTTGGGCATTTTCTGGGGGGGCTCTTGTTTTCCCTGTGGACCACACTCACACTGCCAGTTCGGTCTGTCTCCTCATGCCTGGCTTTCCTGAAGAGCTGGTCCCAAGCAGAAACGGGAGGTCACCTCTTGTGTGTTTCAAAAATTTGTAAGAAGTATTCTTTGGGAATCAGATACTAGGATATTAAATGTGCACATAGAGTTAGAAGAGAAGGTATTGCTGGCATAGCCCTTTTTATGATATTCTCTACAGGTTTTAGGTATAAATATTTCCAGTGTTGAACAAGTGCTACCTTAAATCATTCAATCACTTTCTGTAGGCTGTGGCTCACTCAACAGCAAAGTCTCCTCAATAGAGAACACAGGATTGCTCCATCATATTCACTGTGTTCTCTTCTTCATTTTCCATCCTTCTTGGCTTCTTGGCTGAATACTTTTTCCCCAACAGGGCAACTGTAAGCAACCAGTGTCTCACTGTGATTATTTGACTCCATTGATTTAGGCTTTGCCTGTAATCAGGTGCAAATCTAACCTCTAGCAGAAGGTCAAGAGCTTTTTTCGTATGGATGACACACCATAGGTGACTGAGGCCAGGCTCCCATGGACATCTTGTCCTGTTCTGTCAGCAGATTTACACCAGGGAAAGGTTTGGCACAGGCTTTGAAAACTAAACCTTGACCCAGCCATGAGCAAATAAGAGTGAGGCAGCTGTTTAAAATACCTGATGGTGAATTCAGATTAAACCAATTCAATATTGACTGGGATGCTTAATATTATTGGCACTGGCTAGTGTGAACCCACTTCCCTCTCGGTGACAAGCAGCAGGATTACCCAGCTCAGAGATTACCAGGTGGGCTCTCCATCCTTGGCTCCCCTCTGAGGACCAGGCTGGGAGAAGGGATGATGCTTCACACAGGCCATCATCCCTGTGGCCTCACACCTCTGCCTTTGAACACTGGGGGAAAATGAACCAGATACAATTGTCTGGTGATCTGGTTTTCAGCCCAGCACTTCTGACCAGGGGATGTTGGACTGTGTGGCCAGAAGCCAGTGAGCTGCCAGCAAAGTGTTTGTGTGAAGACACATGTAACATCTTTTGGCTGACAAACTGTATTACATGTCTGTCCCTGTGCCCAGGAGTAGGCAGAGCAGTTCTCTGCTTCAATTTTCTGTGATATATATATATATATATATGTATATGTATATACATGGCCAAAAATGTGAACTTCTTGTGGTGGTGATTTCTCCAAGCTCTTGCCCAAGACAAAGCCAATGCCCCCAGGATCTGTCTGGAGAAGGGGAAGGCGCTCCGTCACAACTACTGCTGCTCAATCGACTTGCTGACACCAGAGTCCCTAAAAATTGGCTTAGCAGCGGGTGCTATCTGAGCCAAAACTGGCAGATCAGCAGCTGCTGGAAGCAGACACTCCTTCGCAAGTTCTGGTCCTCTCTGGTGTCACCCAAGCTGCTTCCCTGACTTTTAGCGACGGCTTTTTGTTAATTAGGTCAGGCGTGGCCCTGTGTGTGAAGTGCCACACGATGCAGCAGGAGCAGTTTAGTGCCGGTGTGTCTCTTCACTTTGGGAGTCTGGCATTTCCTTTGCTCTCCAGGTTATGCCGAGACACAAGGAGGGACTGGGAGAGGGAAGATTAACCTTCCGCTGGCCACAATTCCTTCCCTCTTATCGCGGAGGCTTCGGCAACGCGCCCCCCTCCCACCCAGCCTCCCTGTCTGAATTGCTGAAAGCATAATGCTCCCATATGAGAGATAAGTAAGTGAGCTCTCTTTCTTTTCCGTAGGGATGAACTATAGTGTATGCAGATTATTAGGAGAAGAAAATAATATCAGAGAAAGGTGGCTTTCTTAAAAGGCATCGGTAGCATTAGTGTCATGTGTGAAGCACCCATTTGTGACAACTGTACAGACCTTTCAATGGAAAATTGTGCTGTGCTACCTTTTAAAGTATGAAATGCTAATTTTGGATTTACAGTTTTTGAACTGGAGGGCTGCATTTTGCATGGAATTTTGTTTAATTTCCCAGAGAAAAAAGGCATTTGAAACACAACTGCCTACAGCCAACTGTCAACAAAAATCAACTGTAATAACACGCGGCCTGTCACTGATTTATGTGGTGATGTGGTAATCTTCTCAATTTAGCTGGATATTTCTTCTTCATACCAAATAGCTGAAAGTCTTGCTAGACGTTTATGAATATCGGGAGGTGCTATTAGGATGATAATGGGGCAAGATTAAAGAGGTGCTCACTGGTTCAAAGTGCCAGTTAAAGAGAGAGGGAACTGAGAGGTGCAGATATATATGGCCCATTGGTATAAGCGAACTTTGTATTTTCAGAGTTGTTTAAGATTTGGGAGACGGCATATTGAGATCCATCTGCCAGGAGAGCATCTTTCTACAGGGAGACTGGGGGAAGCAGCTATGTGCTTGCTTTTTTTTTCCCCCCCTAAAAAATATGCAGGGGGTGTGGGTTGAAGATCTTGGGTACTGAAGCTGGAGCAAACGAGTACGGACGATGTTCTAGTAAGCAGAATGCTGGGAATTTTCCTCCTTTTCCCTAAAAGGCTGAGCCTTAGCCATGGTCATTTAGCAGCAGACTGTGTCTCAGCCAGGACTGGCGAGTAACATATCACACTCTACATGTTACAGCTAAGAAAAGTAATTGGCCTCTCATAAAGAGCTAGAACTAATGCAGACAAAACGATATTGCAAGACTTGAGCTGCAAATAAAGAGACAAGTTTGTGTTTTACAAAAATGTATAATTTACCAGGCATTTCATTATGCTGTATAAAAAGGCAAAAATGATAATTGAAAATAAATGCGGCTGCCTAGCTACAGTATATGCTGCCAGCGTTACTGGAAATAGAAGTGCTTTCTTGCTGAAGAGAGTTAAAATTTTCATACAACTTCTGTCTGCAGACTTGTGTAATGTATCTTGTTAAATTTGTTTCAGTTTGGGTATTTGTTACAGAGAAGCAGGCAAAATGTGAAGCTCTGTCTGTGTATTTTTATATCTAGGGGCTTGTACAATTATATTAATTATTAACAGCATCTTCTGCAGATGCACACATCTGTGGAGTCTGAGGCAGGATTCATCTTCCTGAGTTTATTCCAGAGTGGGAGAAGTACATCAGTTGCATTCAAGGTTGCCAGAGATATTCCACAGCAAACTCCTGTCTTCCAAGGAACACGGTTACAAATATAGATAAACCGAAGTAATGTTGTTGGGTTATTTTTCCCTGAAGCAAAGGGAACTCTGGATTGCCGTTTTTCTTCAATACATGGGGTTACTTGGGGATGCTGAGAATTACTGGAGGGGGAGAACATAGAAGCTTCTGCCCTGAAAGCTTCTCTCTGGCCCCCTCATTCTCTGGGAAGAGGAAGTTGCCACAAATGTGGTGTCCCTCTGTGTCCAGATGTGTGAGTCTCCCTGCAGCAGCCCCAGTGCTCTGCACACCCAGTGGGGGAAAACCTTCCCCCAGGGTGCTTCTGGGGGGAAAAAAGCCCTCCACTGGATTGAGATTTCCCCCCCAAGCTCTTCAATTTCTCAACAGAGAGAGCTGTGAAAGGCTCTAGGCTCAATTCTTCCCAGGATCTGCTCATGCCCCACAGCAACAAAATGCCACGCAGGTTATCCAGGCTACAAGTGAAACTACTGATTTTCCATTAGCTCTGGAATTAAGCTAAGAAAGAAGAGGTGAGAGGTCTTCCCTTGGCTGCAAGCAGCTGGACACCACTGAGATGGCTTTAGAGGCCAGGGAGGTAGGGGCAGAGAAACAGCACATGGGATGAGTTCCTTGTTGGCACTCCCATCCCACAGATCCCTCACCAGGGTGGATGGGATGGCAACAGAGCGGACAGGGTGCTGGGAAAAGAACTCATCAGCAGGAAGGTTATACTTTCGTGTGTGTGTTTAAATACGCAGTTTAAAATTACCTTCTTTTTCATTCTTTTTTTTCCATTTGGGCTCTTTTTTTACCTATAGACTCAGCTGGGCTGCATTGTTCAGAGTGGTGGTTGTGTTTGGATGGGTCAGGCCCTATGAATTCACTTGGCCTTGAAGCAAAAAAACTCATCATGAATAATGAAAGAAAGGAAAATAATGCCTGAGACAGAATGACTTTAAAAATGATTAATATCTATTCTTTCCCTCATAATTTGCCTCCAGACTTTTCCCTTTTCAAAATAGCTCGCCATTAGCAGCTGAACTTTCAACAGTCAGTACTTTGATGGAACTGGTGTTCTGAAGCCAAAGAGAACATTATTATTATTATTATTGTTTTTTTTATTATTGTTATTATTATAATATGGAACCAAGGTTCATTTTGATAAGTTCAGAGCCCTGGATGAATACAGGAAGGCCCAAGTTCTGCCCTCCACCACATCTAGCTGGCTCAAACGGGCCGCTTGAAACGCAGCAGCGTTTGCCAGCTTACTGAAATCCTTGTGACCGTGGATGTGGAAACACCAGTGTCAGTTCCCATCCAATAACTGCTGACAGGAAAGCTGGTCCTGTGCAGAGCAGCACCGAGGGGATTTGCAATTATGAAGGAATGGGATGTATCAGGGATGCAACTGACTGCCACTAAGTAGCTCAGCAACTCTCAGGGGCCTCCACTCAGGCTCCCAACGCCTCGTCTCAGGCAGGAGATTTTCTTGCTTCAAAGGCTTTTATTAAAAACCAGTTCAGGTAAATGCTGACAATAAGCAAGCAAACCTGTTGAGCCTCGAGTCCACAACTTGCCAGGCAACAGGATGCTTCTCTGTGACATTTAAGAGTGCTAACACCTGAAGAAAATATTGCATGTTTTACCCTTTCTGCTTAAAATAACACAAAAAAAAGTGCTGCTCTTGCAATTGCATTTAGGGGCATTTTCAGCAAGCTGCCCCCCATTAAAGGAAACCTTCTCAGGGAGTTGATTAGTGTGTTATCCCAAACACCTGCAGAGCATGGGTTTAGCTTCAGCTTGCTCTGGGTGCAAGCACTTTTATTGTGTGCTGCTCCAGGTTCCCTCAGAGCAGCTCCCTCCAGCTCCTTGGGCTACCCTGAGCTTCAGGTAAGTCTTTCTGTTATTCCTAAAGTTTTACAGCTCTGTAGCACAGCGGTGCTCCAGGTTTTTTTGAGGTGATGAGCAGACAAAGTTTGATGGTTGTAGGACCTGAAGTTGCTCCTTTCTATATATCAGTTGTAAGGTGGAGTAACTGCTTGATGTGAAAGGTGATGATTTTGTCTTTTTATGGTGAAGTCCTAAATTTGTTTCTCTTTTAAGCCTTCTCTCCAACTATATTTACCCTTGGTTCCATGGTTCTGCTTTGTTGGCATATTTAGCCTTTAGACAGCTGTATCCACGTATTGCTTCCCTTGTGAGCCTTCCCCTAGCTGGTCATCTGTGGAGAGCAGCAGGATTTTATGGGACTTGGTACTTCTTAAGTCAGACTTCTTTGATTTTCTGTCAAAATAGCAGATGATTATTTTGTTGGTAATGGTCAGATGTGCCAGTTCCGTGAGCATTATGGTCTTTGCAGTGTGTGAAGTCAGAATTGTTATGGCCTTTAGTCAGGCAAGGCTCCTGTTGAGAGTGGGGATTTTACCCCTGGTTAAAACAGGGATTGCCACAAGCTTCCACTTCATCCCTTTCCTGGTCTTGGAGGAGGGCTGGGAGAACAAAAGGTGCATCTTTTTTCTCAGCTGCCACAGTTTCAGAGAGCCTGGGCAGTGTTAATGAGGCACAGCTGGGCCTCGTTTTAACACTTAAGGCTAAAGGGTGAAGCCGTGAGGAGCTTCCAGAACCTTCTGGGCTTTTCCAATCAGGCTGTGGATTAATTAATTATCTCTGCCTGTGTTAGAGGTGGAAGGAAGCCTTTTAATGTCTGCCAGGGGATAACACTCCTTTTGCTGCCCACTGAAAGCATGGCAGCCTCAGCTGAAATGGGCGAACCTGTGTCACGTGCCCCATTTTTGGGGACTTTAATGGCTCAGGGGAGGAGGTTTTATGTAGCAAACCCCCCTGATTCCAGGGGGTTCACCTGCAGCGTGGGTTTTAAGCCATCAAAATGCACTTGTGTGTTACCTGCAGAGATAATTGAATGTATATGCACATCCCCAACAGAACACCTGTGCTGCCTCCCTGGCACGCTTAAATATTCCCTGCATGCCTGTGTGTTCTCTGCAAGCTACACTACACATTAATAAGACAATCCATATATTGCATTAGGACAGACCCTATGCAGACAATGCTTCAGGTACTGCTTTTCCTTTTTTTTATTTTTTTTGTGTAAATCCTGAAATATGGCTGATATGGTCCACTGCAAAATGAACCTATATTGGAAATGGCAAAATTGTAATGTAAAATATACTGGGGTCAGTGGGGTGTGATGTTTTTTGCATACATTTTTTCTCCCTTGACCCATGCCATTCTCCTGCATATCGGGGGAAAAAAGCTTCATCTCACACAGAAATGTGATGTCCTTTACTGCCAGAGGCTGTTGCTGTTTTAAATGAGGAAAAAGCACAATGCATGAAGAAGGAAAATTAAAGCATATTCATTTTGGAAATTAGATACGGTGTCAGGAGACTCTCTGGAAATAGCATGGTTTGAATGGAGCACCAGACTACAAGACAGTTCACTGAACTTTTGACCACTATTTATACTATGGGAGCTTTTGAAATGGGAAGACAGCGAAGTATTTTATAGCTGTTTAATAGTGGATTGTGGTTTTTACTAGACATTTATCTTCCCTCTGAGTGTATATAAGATAAGTAAACATTATGTAGTGTAATTGCGTTGTGTTGGGAGCGCTTTAATTTAGGGCTGCTCTGTGTTCCCTGTTTGTGGCACATCTCATCCCCAGCCACCGTGAGGGGGTGCAGGTGCTACCTGACTCTATTGCAGCATCCAACACGGATCTGAACCTGCTCCTGGCATCCAAGTGGTGCTTTTGCAGTTTGTATTGGGCAAAAAAGCCCTAAAGCAGAGGTGGTTGTGGCCCTGGACTGTTTGGGAAGCTGAGGAAACTTCTAGCTCCAGGCCTGACTTAATTTCCCTCTCATTTCTATATAGTGAAACTCATTTTAACCTCCTCCATGCCTTCAGTTCCTCTTTAGTATTCCAAGTGCAGGGAGCAATACACCCTTCCAGGGCTGGCAGCTATCTCATTACAATTGTAACGATGCATCACCAGGCAGACAGGCATGAATGAAACACTGTTTGCAAAACCAAAAATGTGTTTGGGGTATTTTTAGGTCCTATTAACTGGGGCTCTTGTTCAGGGAAATAATACGGAAAGATCAGAATTGTGGCGTAATCTGAGAAAACGCGGTCTCGGTGTAGTCACGACTCTTCTTTTCCTTCCCCCTTTACTTTCCATCTGCATAAACTTTTATCTTCAGCTGGCATGGGGAGAGTTGCACCATGGCTATGGGTCTCGAGGACCAGTCATTTGAGAGAGAAGTGCTCTGGAGAAGGAGCTGCCACTGCCAAGCCAGCCGCCTCCTGGAGCTGAGGACTCAAATGGAGTCATGCTATACTGGGATTGCTGCATGCAGTGCTATTTTCCCTTCTGGTATTTTCCTCTTGGAGACAATTATAAAACAGATCTCTTACTGCTTAATACCGAGAGGCAAGCCACAAAGCTTTTCTCTCTTTTTTATTTTTAATTTTTTTGGTATGATATTTGGAGAAGTTTAGGCTGATGGACATCCATTGGATAGTCCCTTTGTCTTTTCTGTTAGCCTTCCATATAGTTTAGCCTATGTGGGAAGGAAAAAAAGATTTTTTTTTTTTTCCTTCTGCCATGGAAGATGCTTTTCTTCCTTGGACCAGAAGCTCCTCTCCTCTCACTAGCCAGTAACAACCCTTCTGTTCATCCTTATGTCAAAGCCACACTACCGAGCTAATAGAGATCGCTGACAATTAGAGATGAGCTGAAATGATTTGGCAAGCTCCGGGTGCCTGCGAACCTGAGGGTGTTCTCGGATCCCTCGGAGCCTGGCGGGTGCGTTGCCAGCCGCGCGCTTCCCACGTCCCCTGTCCTCATGGGGAGAGCAGTTGGGATGCTGAGTCCAGCTGGGCCCGGAGGTTGGAGAAGAGTGCGAGGGGGAGTCTATCAGATTCATCTCTTCCCTGCTGGGAATGCAGCTCTTCCCCGCTTCCCTTCCTGGCTGCTCTTTGTTGCTTCTTTCTGCCAAGATGTCCCAGGCACTGTCAGGTCTCTTCTCCTGTGGGAGATGGATGTGATGATATCCCAGGATGACTCTATCTTTTCCTCAGGAGCAGTTTGATGGGTCACAGCTGGAGAGGCAGCGTCCCTGGAACACACAACGGACACAATGCATGGAATAATGTTTTAAAAGAAATGCAAATTCCCTATCAGCGCACACCTTCAGGTGTTAGGTTTGTTGCCTCTTTTTTAATGGCTGTTCATTTTACTTTATTTTCCTCCAGATATAGAGTGTTTCTATCTTGTGCCCAAGACAATATCATGAAATGCCTTGAGATCCTATTTATGCCAAAACTTCATAGGACAAGTGGAAATTTTAGATGTTTTCCTTACTCTTTATTCAGTGTGGGACTACTCGAACATAAGTTGAAACAATACCCCAAGTAACCATTGGTGAAAAAGCAAATACCCCAAACAAATGTCTCAAAATTAGGATTTTGTCATGGGATGGCCTATCACTGGAAAAGGTGGTTGGCTGATGGCTGAGCCACGACCATCAGCTTGGCACCTCTCGTATGGTTTCTACCCTGAAAGACTGAATTTACCTTTTCTACTCGTCATGACTAGCTATTTGTGGGAGTGTGGAGAGAAGCTGCTTCCCCAGCCTCATTAGGGAGCTGTGCTGCAGGAAAATTGCTTAGGGAATTTTTGTACATCGTTTGAATCCCATGGAACTGAAATGAAGAGGTGTATTTTCATTATTTTATTTCACTTTTCTTAAGGCTCCAGGGTCTCTTTCACCACAGTGTGGAAATTTGTACCTCAGTGTTCCTGTCTGCCAAGTGTGTCTGATACTTGTGGAGGACTTTGGAAGTGTCTTAGCCTTCAGTCCAGTAAAACTTTTAATCTGCTCCATGTGCCTATTAAACAGGAGTGGTAAAGTGCAACAGGTGGCCAAAACCTAGAAATTAGCAAATTTCAATTTGCATTTTGGAGGCGTAAGAAATACATCTGTGTAGTCTCTAGAAACACAGAGAGGGACCGTGCTGACAGGTCTTTATCCTACATGTCTGCACATGCTTTTCTGAGGAAAAAACACACAAAGCCAGAGCAGAGCCAAGGCACAGAGGTAGCGAAACAGAAAAACGAGCGGCTTGGCCCCGTCATGTGCACCGCAGTCCGTGTGACCACGTTAGACACGAATTCTTTGCGTGTGTGAGGAGATAACAGATCCACATTAATTTCAGAGCTGATTGCCGTTCTTTATTAATAGAAATGTAATGCTGTGCCAATGCCAAGCCCTGCCAGCCTTTCCTTTTTATCTCCTCTTTCAAACATAGACAGCGTGGAAAGCCTGATCGGAGGATCCCTCAATCCCTGTTTATTTCACAGCTTGTTAAGCTGAGGGACAGTAATGGCACCTTACCATGGCTGAGGTGACCGTGAATTGTCAGCTAATGCTGTAAATATCACCTGGAAATTTTTTTTGGAGGCTGAGAATAGTTTCTGTGGAATAATGCTAATTTAATATAGTTTCATAAATTGAACAGAATTGAATGAGTGACAGTAGATTTGTGAATAATTTGCAAATTGAAGCAGTGATAAAATTTGTCAAATAATGTGTTTTCTATTAATAGTTTGCCCTGCTCCATGTAGCTGCTGAGCAGTCTTGGTTCTCTTGGGTTTTTTGAGGAAAAGCTAGAATAAAAATTCTTTATTATTTTTGTTATTTTTAAGCACTGTCCTTTTTTTTTTTTTCCCTTTCCCCGTTCCAAGAGCCATTGTTTACTTTTGAAGTAGATGAAAGATGAATTCAGGTTACGTTCTGACATTACAATGAAATTGTCAATAGGAATCAATGCCTTGTCAGATGATGAGTTAGGGGCTATAAGACAGC